CAGACTATTGTGGTTATGTTGGACATGTGACGCCTTCAGTTGACGAATCTGTTACCACTGACCTTAGCTCAGCAAAGAGCCCCATGAAGAACTTTCGGTGAAAATGTCAAAGTTAGGCTTTTAAACTTTGGTTTAACCTTTATTATTTTCTCTCTCTCCCTTCTTCTTGTCTTTCAAAAATTTTGAGAGGCTACTAAAATGTTCACTGAGTCCATCGTCTCTAAGTGCCGATGGTTAAGGAAAGGGGACATACATATGATTTACCAACCAGACTCATGGGGCAGTGCTACTGCAGGTGAATGGCATTATGGCCCTTCAAGAGGCTGGGTGGCTGTTTTATCTAAACTTCACTTGTCTCTGTTATTAATCTGTTCTACCTTCTTCAGGAAGCTGTTGTAAGACTCTAAGCAGGATAGTCAATGTTATGGTCTCTTGTGAGTTGTAAAAATACTTGTGAACAAAGTCTCAGGTAGTATCTTATATGATTCAACACAGGAATGCATTGCAAATTTGATGTATGGACTTTAAAAGAAACATTAAAAAGGATCTTTATCAAGATATCTCTTTCATTGCTCTTTCACTCCATCCCTCTCCTCCCTCATCCAACCTGTCCCTTCATGTTCTCAATCTCCTCCCCTTTACCGCACCCCTCACCTCAGTTTACCCAGGAGATGTGTCCCTCTTAGGATCCCCCTTGTTACCTAGCTTCTCTGAAGCTGTGAACTGTAGCTTGGTTTTCCTTTGCTTTACATGTAATATCTACTCATGAGTAATTACATACCATGTTTGTTTTTCTGAGTCTGGGTTACCTTACTCAGGATTTTTTTTCTAGTTCCATGTCATTGTTTCTTACAGCTAAGTAATACTCCATTATGTAAATATACCATATTTTCTTATCCATTCTCCAGTTGAGGGGCATCTAGATTGTTTCTAGGTTTTGGCTATTACAAATAATGCTGCTATGAACATCATTGAGCAAGTATCCTTGTGGTATGACTTTGGGCATCCTTTGGGTATATGTCCAAGAGTGGTATTACTTGGTCTTGAAGTAGATTGATTCCCAGTTTTCTGAGAAACTGCCATACTGATTTTCAAAGTGGCTGTACAAGTTTGCATTCCCACCAGCAGTGGAGTAGTGTTCTCCTGACTCTACATCCTCTCCAGCATAAGCTGTCTCATTAACTCTAGACTGACAGCTGTGGAGCCTCTGTGGGACCGAAGTAGGTCCTCCATATGTGGAAGACAATTGTGAAGCTTAGGCTCTCTGAGGCGTCTTGGCAGTACGAACAGTATCTATCCCTGGTGCATGAGTTAACTTGTTGGAGCCCTTTCCCTATGAGGGGATGCCATGCTCAGCCTTAATGCAGTGGAGAGGGGCATGGTCCTGCCCTAACTTAATGGGCCAGACTTTGTTGACAACTCATTGGAGTCTTTATCAGGCTGGGAGGAGTGAATTTGGGAGGGGGGAGGTGATGAGGGTCAGAGGGGGGTCGGGGGGAGAACTGTGGTTGGAATGTAAAATGAAATTTAGTAATAAATTTTTAAAAAGATCTTATTTGGCTTCCACAAATTTTTACTTTTTGGATGAAATATCCCTCACTTCTCTTTTGGTGGCCCAGGCATGGTCTTACTACATAACCCAAACTGCCTTCAAACTTGAGATTCTCTTTCTTCAGCCTCCCAGGTCCTGAGATTATAAGCACATGTCACCACACTCAATTCTCTTAGTTTTTTCAAATAAAGTATTTTAAAAAACCCAGTTAGAGTTCCTACATGATAGTTCTCATAATTTCATTGTAGTATAGTTGTAATTCTTATTTTACTTTTCCTGCTAGATTATAAAGACTTTGAGGGCAAATTCTGTGTTTGTCAACTGTCTAGTAGGTGTTTGAAGTAGATTTGAGAAGCAGTTTTCCAGTAAGGTTTCTTTTCCATGGTTTCTTTTATGTTTGATTACAACATTTACTAGGCAACAGAGATTGTTTTCTAAGAAAACATCATGGCATACAATGATGAAGAATTCTGGGTACCCAGTTAGGATTGGATTGACATTCAATTATGGTCCATCCCATCTACAGTGCAGAGTAAAGGAAGACAATATTAGCAGTGGTACAATCATTCATAGAACACACATACTTTGCAAGAGAGGGAAAGCTGGTGAGCTACCTAGGTTCATTAGTGTAAGAAATGTTAAATGTCTTTAACTCTCTTTTCAGTTTCATCTTCTCTGGACCTCAAAATGTCTTGTATGAAGGATAAAAAGATGAAACTTAGGGACTTCCACCCCTCTCCTAGCTCTGTCATTCTCTTGCAAGATTGATGTTTATTTCATTTACTCTTCTGGTTGGATTGAATTTTCAGTGTAAATCATTATCAAACTACAGACTAATGCATAGGATATCTCTGTATTGTGATAAATACTCACTTTTAGTCTTCCATTGTCTTTATTATAGTCAGATTATTGAGATAACATTAAAGAATGTTAGTGAAATGGCAAAGCATTCAAGAAACTGGATTTAAATGAAGCCTTATATATAGAGATACATGAGTAGATGAAGGTCAGGCAAAGAAAGGCCTTGGGGATGGTGAGAACCACAACAGACTCAAGCCAAGGGATGATAACAAAGTTTGAAATTTGGATACTCAGAAAGGAAAGCTTGGGTTGTCTTTGAGAGTTCCCATGAAATTTTGTAAATAGTAAAGGACAATCTTCAGGAGGGAGGAGAGGACAAAGTTGTACCTGCTGAATATCACCAAAAGCTTGGCAGGAAATGAAGCCAGCATGAGTGAAAAGGAAGAGGAAATTGCCTGTGACACACAGATGCAGGGCTCTGTTAAGTGAGGAGAAAGACTGGAATGGAAGTGAGTGCTGCAAGGGAGGAGGACTGGGTTTGCCAATAGTCCTATCACTCAGTGTTTTAAAAGCTGGAAAGGATGCTTCCAGCTGGAGGAATATGGCAGCTTGGCAAGCCCTTACCTCTCCCGAGCGTTTCTCATAAATGATAAAAGATTTATCTCGGCTGTCCAGAGTAGTTTGCAAAAATGTTTATTAATGAGCTCTAGAGCAGATTCTGATCTTGGTTGAAAACAGGTGTACATTTGACAGCCTCTGGGTAACTAAACCAAGGCTAATCAGGCCTCTTACTGGAATAGCACCTCTGACCCCGATTCTTAAGGAAAAACATGTATTCAGACCCCTTTATTTTCTGTAGAATTAGAGGGACTACTTTTGCTAGCTACATTCCTTATTCCTTTCCCCCTTTATTCTTATATAGTTCCACCCCCACCATCTTCTTTGTATCCCTTTCTACATTCTAGAATGACTTTAGGAGTATGCCAGGCAGGAACACAGAAGATTGGCTTGACACTGCTGTTGACAATTCATCTGTCAGGGTGTAACTGTCTGGCATGACCAGTCACTGTTTTGCATTCCTTTGCAAAGTATGCCTTTGTTTAGTCTTGAGGGAATAGGCTTCCCTCATTTTTCCATACACTCAGAACATGGCTAATGGCCACTCTGCTTTGTATGGAATGCAGATGTTTGCATTTTCACACAGTTTAGCCAATCAGCTCTCCATTCCTTTTGCAAACTGCAAGGTGTCTAATCTACAGGGAAGATTCAAGATATTTTTCTCGTACCATTTCTAAGAAAAATTACATAGGTCATGGCAGAGAAATTGTGCTCCTTTCCAATTTATCTCATTTATTTTTTTCAAATTCTACAGTCTGCTTTCAAGCCATATGTAGTATGTAATAGAAGGCCAGGCTAATTAGCTATTATTGTTTGAAGTATAAAATTCAATATGCTTTTGAAGCTAGACCATCTTTTATAAAAGCCAATTATCAAGAATCTTTCTAATTCTGTGTTACTATTGCACGCTATAATTTTGAGTGCATCCTAGATCTTCCTTAAATAAAATAGAAAACTTTTCATCTGCTCTAGGAATTTAAATGTTATTTATTTCTTTCTGAATGATATGTAGATGAACTATAATACTATTACTCAAACACATGGATGATTCCTCACAAAGGTGAATGGTATGTCTACATGGACACTTTCAATATTTTAAAAGGTTTTTTAAAATTAATAATAAGCTTTAGGTACTGAAAATATTTGTTACAAGTATGTGGCATTTGCCAAAAGTAATGCACATAGTTTGCATGCATACATCCATGAGCATGTATGTGTGTGCATATGTGCCTATAATCTTCTGAATATATGCTGATATCCAGATTGCTTCTTTTCATTTGACTTAAACCACAAGTCACAAACAGCATGGAAAGCAGTAGCCCTGACAGGCTGCTATTAGAAGTGGTGGCTTGTTCCGTACCACAAGGAAATCTTGGAGGGAACACAGCTCTGAAGGTAACTGTGAGCCAAGTCAGCTCAGGAGAATGGCGATAATGAGACCTAGCTAGCCCAACCACAGGAAAAGAAGTGGTAAGGACTATTTCTTGCATGGCTAATGCCTTTGTACCTTGACATTATTAAGAAATCCTGTGGGCCGGGTGGTGAATGCTCATTTATTTTTCTTTTCTCTCTCTCTCTCTCTCTCTCTCTCTCTCTCTCTCTCTCTCTCTCTCTCTTTTTGTTTAACAGTGTACTTTATTTTGAACTGAGATTGATTTTTTTCTCTATAATGTAGAAAATTGAATTGCAGGATGGGTGTGTGATTGATTCATTTAGGTATTAACAGCCATGTATATGCTCAATATTTTCTGACTGACAAAGTTAAGAAGAACTAGGTCTGAGATCTTGTGTTAGTTCTCATCCCCCCTTGCATTTCCTAAGGTTAAAAATGAACTGTTTTAGATATGCATAATTTATAGTAGATTATGAACTATCTCTTGGTAGCTATAAAATGAGTCTTCAGCATTTTGCCTGTTATTAGTGAATAATTATTTAGTACATGGAAAAAAGACATTTGCAAACATAGTAAAGTATTTAATGTTATTGGTGACAGTTTATTGATCCATGCCTCCCCTTTGTGTCTCCACAGAAATTGGTCCAGTGACAATTACCACAGATCCCAAAAAATTTCAGTATGAACTAAGAGAACTCTACGTTCAGGTGAGTGAAATGGAGAACCATGTATCTTTGGCTGACTTCCATTACTTTTAAAATCTGAAGGAAGTAATCATTCTCTCAGGGACTCAAGAAATGTCATGTCCTTTCCCCACCCATGTCTAGAATGAATCAATCGATCTAGAATATGACATCATGAGTTCATTTGTCAGCACCTACAGCCACCTGTGCCCTGTGACAATGGAGCTGTGAAATGTGTCAGAGGCTTTTTGTCTTCTTTATCGAAACCATTTGCTGAACCCTGTCCTAGAAAGGTTCCTTCCCTTTGATACACAAGAAACAGTTAATAATTCTTTCTCACAACATAAAAAAGTGTAACTGAGGTAATTGTGATTTGCCGTCCTCTAAACTGTCCATTTAGAATGTGTGTGTGTGTGTGTGTGTGTGTGTGTGTGTGTGTGTGACATGGTTAACAGGAAAGGCCAGTGGCATTCACTTGAGTATCACCCTGAAAGCAGAGCTTGGAGAATGAGTTGGTGTGTATTGACCCCTTTGTGCTACTTTGAGATTATTCCTCAATCCATTCATTAAAACGAATTTGCTCGGTGAGGCTGTTTTTACTACACTTTCTCAGTGGCATATGCTGCTCTCATCTATAGATGTTTTTGGTCACTTGCCAGCATTCATCTAGACTCTAGCTTGTTCATAGTTTCCCCTTAGGGCTATTGCCATGCCCAGGGACTTCAATGTGTGTGGTACTATCCTATTCTATGGAAATAGTACCACCTCACTCCTTGACCTACTAGCCCATCTCAGTGGACATCCCCCACCCTAGCCCGCCCCCGAATTTTACTTCTGAATTCCCACAAACATCCTGAATCTTGTCACTATTTCAAGTCTTCCCTTTCCCAAATAACTAATTCAGGCATGCCCATCTCCATCAACACACTCTCACAAAAATACTGGTGCAGTTTCTGATGCTGGTTATATTTCTGTAAAGCCCCCAGGAACTCCAGGCAAGTGGCTCATATGCTTCCTCCCAGGCCATCAGATCTTTTCAGTTTTTCACTCTCTGCCAATCTAGTTTAGAGATTTATCACTTTTAAAACATTGTTTTGTCTTCCCTGTGCAGTGCTTTTCTGTTCCAAAGGCAAAACCTCATTTCTAAGTGACTCGCTTATCAGTTGCCAACACGGCATAATGTACCACCTGCTCTAAGAGTAAGTCTGGAGGACAGAGTGGGACTCTCGGAAGAAATCACATTCACGAGAAGACTTTGAGTATTTTCAAGACTGTAAATTCTGCTAAGGGCGTGCAGAGACAGGATTTAAAGACAGAACTGCTGTGCAAAGAGAGCAGCATTTGCTAAAGCCCTAGGAGGAGGCTGAGGATCCAGAACCAGGAGAATCTAGGCAAGTCCCTTGAGGCAGATTACAGAGTCTAGTGGAAAGCATCACCCCAAAAAGGGATGAGAGGTAGAGGGATCTCAGACATTCCAACCCACTGGAGTATTTGATGAAGCCCAGCAGGAGGACCTGATGAACCCAGAACCACCTGCCTTGCATTCTCACAATTCTAAGATGTTTCTTTAGGTGGTTCAACCTCCTGTTCCTTTTACTGACCATTTAAAATCTTACCCTCCTTACACCTTTGTCCTATAACTACTATAAATCCTACAATAGTTTCGATTTCAGCAAGTGTTCTACTCAGAGCTGGTGACTGACTGACTTCGGTTTCATGTACAGGCACATAGAAACGAAGCTTTTGCTTTCTGTGTCCTTCATATTATTGTCCCTTTCCTCCTCCTGACACATCCTTTTGTCTCATCTGTTTGTCTCATCCACTCTCCTATCTTTCTTCTTACCTTTCCTGTGCAACTTCTTGACCTTTAGGAACTGGATCCTACTTTCTTCTCATTTTTATGGCCCTTCCTTGTAGAATTGTACATGATCTCGTTTGTTTTGAGCCTTAGTCTCTTTTGAGGGACAGATCCTCATTTTAATCTCTTGGATGTCCAGGTGGCTCTTAAAAATGAGACTCATGGAAGTTCCTTGTATGGTTGTCCAAAGCAGACAGGACCTTAATCCTTGGTCTTTGTCTCCTGTTTGTCAGCTTTGCAAATGTTGCTATGGTACTGTGATTAGCCAACCAAGTATTTGATTCATGGTTAACACACCCCTCACCTACTTCTCAAGCTAACTTTGGTAAAGTTTCCTCTTTAAAATTTTCATTTATTTATTTAAAAATTACTATTTTAATTTTTACCATTTTTTTATATTTTGATTTTAGTTTACATTCCAACCACAGTTATCCCTCCCACCCCTCCTCCCACTCCCCCTTACCTCCCCCACTCCCCTGCTCACCTCCCCACTAGCCCACCACCCAGTCCACTCCTCCTTATGGCTAAGGGCTAGCATCATAAATGTCTTTAAAATTCATTGAGTTTCTCTCTCCTGACACCATCTGGATCCCAATGACTTTACTGAAATAATGGAGAAAATAACCTAACTCATATTTTTGAATTTGTTCTGGCTTTTAATTTTCAGTCCTTGAATCTGTAGATGGAAGTCTCAGAACATACCTCTGAACTTTGACCTGTGTTGGGGTTCATCAACTACTCCAGTGGGTTGGAATGTCTGAGACCCCTCTTCCTCTCATTTCTTTCTGGGAACCACTCTTTTCCTAGGCTTTCTGTTCTGCCTCAAGGAATTTGCATAGATTCCTGGTTCTGTATGCTCACCCTTACCCTTCACTCAGGGCTGTAGCATATGCTGCTCTGTTTGCACAGGAAGTTCCTGTCTTCAAATCCTCTCTCTGCACTCCCGTAGCAGAATTTATGTCTTTAAAAATACACTTAGTCTTCTGTTGAATGTGCTTTCCTCAGAGAGTCCTGCTCCTGTCCCCCAGGCTTGTTTTTATCTCACTACCTCTTTGCCATAGAGCAGGTACCATATTTATATCGAAGGAACATGTTTGGCATCATCATAATCATACCTTATTATTAAATCCTCAGAGTGAAACGCCTGACATGTACAGTGTGCTCACACAGCAGTGAGAGTGAAGCGATGAATAGATATGGTAGAATATGCACATGAGCACAGGTCAAAGTGCAGTTTAGTGTACTGATGTTTAATCAGATGCAGTTACAGGTGAACAGCTTGATTGGGATTGCTAATGTTGCTGCTGTTTTTAGCATGCCTTGATGTGCATAATGAACTGAGTTATAGTTAATGAATGCGCAAATGAACTTGCACAAGTATCCCTTGAGTAGTCTTACTTTTTAATGGATTTTCTTCTTTTTGTCACCTTTCCGATCAGTAATCCTCTATCCACCTGCCATTATAGCCTGTTGCTCCAGTAGTCATTAACTTGCTACTTAATTCTCGTCACTTTTATCTCCCTTAGAATAGAAAAATCTTTGGATGTTGAGATTCTGCAAAAAAAAAAAAAAGTCTTTATAGAATTGTTTAGCCTGTCAAGGGATTATGACTTGAGCAATTCCATTTTCTTGGTGGCCTCAGTCTTTACAGTCACTCATTCTGCTGTGAACCTCTGGTGATAAGAACCTTGTAGTTCTCGATGTCACCTCTGTACTGTCTCCAGGATACACCAGGGTAGTAGGATGTGGCTTACATAGCTACATGACACTTCTTTAAAAAAAATTCACTAGGAGCAACACTATATCAAAATGATTTAAACTCACCTGTGCAAAGATATCTTAAAAGCCCAATCTCAGTTTTCAATATTTTGTAGAGACCCAGAGAGGCCACTGTCAGGGAGCTTTCAAACTGAGGACCTATTAGGGAGAGATTTACCGTGTTCACCTTCTTCTCTGTAAGAATGCAGCTGAACTATTTTCACAGAAGTCTGAACAGACTGAAAATAGCCACATTGCAAATAAGACCTGGCACTGCACTGCTGCTTCCTGCCTCTCCCTGTTTGCATTTTGAAGGATCTTCAGGGAGTGTCCGCATCCTCCCTGTGCCATTTGTCTCCAGGGTGAAGGAAGGATCCTGCTTCCTGACTCACACCCCTTGACTCTCTTGGCAGCGATCTTCCCAACACCCTCTGGGATTGAATCAGATGCAGTCAGTATCTAGGGGAGTTTAATTTTTACCTCCATTCAAAACAAAACAAAAAAAAATCCCTCTCTCTTGGAACTGGAGCTGGTGTTCATGTCTCTGGACATTTGCTCTGGGCGAGGCACGTCTTATTATTATTATTTATTTCTGTTTTGTTTTGGCTCGTGTTGTCATAAGATCCACAAGGGCACAATTAGAATATCTTGTTGAGAAAGAAATCAGATATTTAGATTTTCCCTTCATTCAGCAAGGATGCCATGGATGTATTTTAATTTGAAAATTTCTAGTAAATGCTTCTTCTACTTTTTTTTCAATTAAGGGCCCCAAAAATCATGTGAAGTAAGGGCCAAGTTAATAACAAACAAACAAACAAACAAACAAACAAACAAACAAAAGAACTCAAGCCAACAACTGTAGACTAAATTAGCACTTCAAGTTTAATCTAAGAAATATATTCTGTTTTCTCTTGCTTCTTTGCATGGAGAATATTTTATTGTTTCATAAATTAGTATGGACAACTAGGTATGTTATATATTTTATACAGTTTTCATGTAGGATAATAGATTTTATTTGGGGTACAATTTCCTGGCCCCCACCCCTGCCAAATCACTGGCATCCATCAAAGCAAGGATTGCTTCATTATTAAACCTAACTTGGACTTGTGGAAAAGCAAACATCTAAAAAACATTCCTTTCACATCTAAATTGATTTTGAAAATCAGAAAAGGGAATTCAATCTGAAGCACATTAAATACATGTCCATTAACACTGCATCTATCTTAGTTTATTTTCCCATAGAGAAATGGAATAAGAAAACTAATCTAAACATTTCTAAGAAAAATTGACAAAAGTTACTACATTGAAATCATTACATTTATTGCATTAATTGTATTTTATTTCTTTTCATCTTGTTGACAGAGAAGTAAGTTTAAAGGCAAATGAACTTTCTCTCTGGGGAAAAGGA